TAAAATCGATTTCACAGTTTTAATTTATAATTATCTTTTTAAAAATATTAATACTCTTCATATATATAACTTAAATCAGTAGAGTTATTTTTTTAAGTATTGTATAAGTTTATGGATAATCGTAACTAACTTTTATTGTATTTTTACAACTAGGATTGGATAGTAAATAAAAATAAAATAATTAGTAATTTTTTTTTACCTGGTCAACCTAGTAAAGTTGGTTAAAATGTGGGGAAACAAAAACTAAAAAATATCATTGAAAGAAGTATATAGTCGTTCTGAGGTGGACGTTTAAGGTACTCAATTCGAGTTCGGTTGATGAATTATTTGGTTTAGTTTTTTCGATTCTATAAAAATATATATCAATCGGTTATTATATTATATTTGATTCGATCTGATTTTGATTTGGTTCGATTTCAGTTTTTATTAAAATAAATTAATTTTTTTTATAAAAAAGTCAGTTTTTTTTTTTATTTTTTAAATTCGGTTTGATTTTATTCTCTAAAAAAATTTCGTTCGAGAGTTTTAGATTGTTCGATTAAAAAATAGTAATGAATTTTTTGTTTCGATATGCTCGATTCCGAAAAACCGAACATAAACATATCCCTAAGTGTCGTAATAATCCAATAATGACTTTTGGAGAAAATTCTCAATTTTATACAAAGTAAAGAAGGAACTACCTGACAAGGATGTGAACCAATTCGACACATTCTCCCATTTTTCTTTGTTAACCAATACACACACAATGGCGGATCTAGAAAATTTTTTCACCGGGGGCAATACGACAATAGTAATATATATAATATACAAAATTAATAAAAATATATCGTCTAAAGAATATTTATATCGGATAACTGAATTCTACGTTTTTTTATTTTTTAAATATATTTCTATAATTTAATTTCTAATTATTTTAAATATATTTTTGATAAAATAAATCAGACAATTATTTATTCCCCCTTATGACCTAAGCCAGTGGCGGATCCAGAAAATTTTTTCACCGGGGGCAATACGATAATAGTAATATATATAATATACAAAATTAATAAAAATATATCGTCTAAAGAATATTTATATCGGATAACTGAATTTTACGTTTTTTATTTTTTAAATATATTTATGTAATTCAATTTCTAATTATTTTAAATATATTTTTGATAAAATAAATCAGATAATTTATAAAAAATTATGTATTATCGTTAAAATTTTACCACAATATTAAGATATTATTACCAAATTATTTTAAAATAAATTTATCGATTTTTCTGATAAATCAAATAAAAAATTAAATAAATATATAAATATATATAGATAAATTGATAAATATAATAAATACATAAAATCAAATAAAAAATAATAGAAATTGTTTAAAATAACAATCATAATTTTTAAATATGTTTAAATTTTTTTATTTTTAGTTTTATTTTGATTATTATTCAATTGATAATGATTTTTTGTTTGATCAAAGATAAAAATAACAACTTAAAAAATGGAAAACAAAAAAAAAGGAAAAAAATACGGAACATAAGATTTGATTTGTTAAATCAGGTAAAATACAGAAAAACGGTGGGGTCCACACAAAATTTAAGTGGGGGCATTAAGGGTGTTTTTTTCAGAATTTTTCTTAAATTCTATAAATTATTTATAAAAAAAAATTAGTGAGGCTAGTGCCCCGACTAATTCTCAAGTGGATCCGCATCTGCACACACATATATATGTATGTATATATATTCAGATCACCATTCTTGGGATTGAGAAAGATACTGTGGACTGACCGACTGAAATTGAACGTCAGTTGAGAAATTAAATTTATATTTCAACATTTATTTCTACCTCAAATTTATAATATTCGTATACAAATTTTAAATATTTGAAAATAGGATCTATTTAGCTAAATTAAATTAAATCGAATTAAAATTAACACTATTTTAAAAAGCGGATGATATAATATTTTGTAATCGATTGAATCGGTTTTGGATGAAGTACAAAAAAATTACACGTGAATAAAAAAAATCTAATGAAACTTTGTAATTAAGAAATTATTCCATTCACGTTTTTTTTAACCAAGGATTGGACGTGAAAATATAAAATTAAAATATTATAGGTGTTCACTTCCACGCGAATCCATACTATTTGTCCGTATATAAAAGCGTGAACCGCCAAAAATTGATGCCACTAGAGTAGTGGCAACGCATATTTTTTTTTTTGTTTTAAAATTTTATCGAAATTTTAATCTAACTATTTTTTATATTTAAAAAATCAAAAAAAATTATATGAATAAATCTTTTCAAACATAGACTCGAATATAGATTGAAAAAAAGATTTACTCTTTTATTTACCAATTGAACCACCTAATTTTAAATTAATAATATAATAATTATATTATATTGTACTCCCTCTGTTTAATTTTATTTGACGTTTTAGCTTTAAACACACATATTAAGAAAAATAAAATTTTATCTAAAATACCCTTTTGTAATTATGATATCTTTATTTTTTCTCTCATACAATATTGTAATTACCTATTATTAATGAAAGATAATTTTGGAAAAAATATCAAAAAGTACATAGAAAATATCAAAACGTCATTTATTTTAAAACAAAAAAATAACTCTAAAACGTCATCTAAAATTGAACGGAAGGAGTATTATCTATCTATATATATAACGATGATCACTTAATATGATAATTTTCTTTATGTATGCATGATTTAATATGATATTTTTTTTATTATTGTAAAGTATATTTCCTGTGTAAAATAACCAATACTCGGTTTTTGTTTTGGAGTTATTAATCGACGACACTAGTAGCCTTTTTATTTACATTATAATATCTATTATTATTATTATTATTATTATTATTATTATTATTATTATTATTATTATTATTATTATTATTATTATTAAATGGTCCAAATGTGGATAATTTTGTATGCGTCAAGAAAAACAAAACAAGTGACGTTTGATAGAAAGGAATAAATAAAGCAATCCATTAATGGAGCCAAATCATATGTCCCCTCAGATTTCACCTCAATCGGCCCAAACTGGGGTTGGATATGACAGGTAATATACTGTCAGGATAGTTGATATATAAAAAAATAATATAATTTTGGAATTTGCATTCTTTATAATAGAAATAAATATACAAAGAGAAACTATATCTATTGAAGATATTTTAATGCAATAAAATACTTTATCATAGTATACATATAAATGTATAAATATTTAGAATAAAATATCCATTTTTGTTTCTAGATTTGGACAATGCCAAAAAAAAATTGCACTAGTTTGCTGATCATATCTTAGGATTATAAGCTTCAAATACTCGATTTAACGAAATAATTTGATGATATATATATATATATATATATATATATATTTATGAATTATAAATGTATTTTTTGTGTTTAGAAAATATGAAAAAAAAAGCAACGCTATATACTATCGGAACAAAATTGATTTGACAGAGTCAATCATTGGGGTTAATAATAAATAAAATGAAATAAATAATAGAAATGCATAAGTAAAACAAATTAATGAATGGGCAAAAAAAAATAGGTGAAAAAAGATAAGGCTAAGAACGATGGAGAAAAGGGAGGGGCCGTGGCAGCCGTTGGATTCGATGTCACATTCCTATCAAAAAGCTTGTTTTCATATTTTTATTCTTTAATAAAAAGTAACATTCGATAAATTTATATATTATTTATCTGTAGATACGCGTAATCTATGTTGTCTACCACCATCCGGTCATCCCTTCAGTATATATATATTTCTGATTTTAATATAATATTTATAATATTTCGATTATATCCTAAAAAATTTAATTTTAAAATATTTTAAAGTATAGACTATACAGGTTTATTTGACTTGGAATAACGTCAAAATTAATTAGTCAATCGGAGAACAAGGATAAAATACATCTCAGAAGAGTTGTAATGATATGTAGACATTTAGTTATTAATTAATGTTTATAAATAAATGTTATTCAATGTCATTTTCTTTTCTCTTACGTGTGTGTATGTATATATATATATATAACTCTCCTTACTTTATAAAATAATAGTAAAATGATTGGCTAGAAAGTATATACTAATCTGTTTATTTGGGATAAAATGGCAGGTAAATATGTACAAAGTATGCTAAAATTAGTCAATTCCATTTTTAAAAAGTATGTTAAAGTAATCGGATACCAATACACACAAAAAAAAGATTAACAAATTTTTCGTGTAGGTCCAAAGTTAGGTTAATTAATTACAATTTAATACAAGTTGGCATATCTGTAGAAGCAGAAGATAAGGTTGGTTTGCGCAAACTCGATGTTGATAGAATGAATATAATGAAACAAGATAGGTAGTGAAATAAAATGGAAACACAAAACAAATGTTCTGTCTTGAATTCAAACCTTAAATTGGAGAGGAGAATGTGATTTCAATCACATGACTTATTTCTGATCTCGATCTCGGAATTAGTATAGATCTCGGCTCCGGTTACCCAAAAAAAAATATATATATATATACACACAATTATAAGATAATGATAAAGGTTGCACTTTGCATGTAATAAGTTGAAATATTCCATGGTAAATAAAAGATAATGTAAGTTCCATAAGTAAAAATATTTACCGAATTTTTAGTATACTTTTTCATCACATCTAAGGCATCAATATTCCTATAGATAAACTGAAATTAAATTTGGGGCTAAAAATGAAAATAAACCCCCCCCCCTTCTGTGATGTTTCGTCATGTTTATTTTATACAATTGGGCCTAGAAAATGTGTGATAAGCCCAAAAATGACTGTAAATGGCCACCGTTCGGCCCATCAGATATGACATGGGACTCATCACGTCTCGATCTATGAAGAAGATCACATATACATCACTTGCTGAAGATGGCAAGAAATGTTCTTGAAAGCAAGGTGCCATCGACTAGAGACCTAATATATGTATATATATACATATATATATGTATATGTGTGTGTGTGTATATATATATATATATATATATATGCAAGAGCCATGGTAGTATTCAGATTTATCGTTCAAATGGAACAGATTGTAAGAAACGGAAACTATTCGAGGGTCATTTTCACGGTAACTAGCCGTAGCTTGACTGGCATTAATAGAAAAACCCGTTTTTTCGTCTTGCAAAGAGCGAATATACAGACGATTAAAAAGGCGTGCTGAAATAATTGGCGTACCTCTTGTTTTCAAGAGGTTTTGTCCATGAGCTGAATCGGTGAGAGGATGTTGGATTTGCTTGTCTCGACGATGCATCCGTTCATGACCATTTCCTCGAGCATGAAATGAGCTTTCTCCAGATGGAACATGATGTCAAGTTCACACTGCATGATTCAGTAAAACACAGTTGGTTTGGTCTTATGATACAATGATACCATGTCTGTAATTCCAGTCTGAGGACTTTGTGGGTTGAAGACAGCTTACCACATTGCCAAAATGCCTGTCCATGGTCTCGACCAAAAGATGTATGAACTCGAGAATTGCTAGCTCATTCTACGACAGAGACAATGCAAAGAAATGATATGAACAATACATCCATACACAATTTACTCTCATTTCAGAATTAACAGCAAAGAAAAGAAAAGGGGATGATAACTTACTTCTTCATCATCGACCCCGACTAGGAAAAACAAAGAAGCATAGCGTCTGTAGACAATTTTGTAGTTGCGATGCTCGACGAAGGAACACTGAATTTTTTTTAAGCATTCAAAGAAAGATTTGGTGATCCCGGAAGTAGAACAAACACCATTAGCGATGAACAAGGAAGCAGAGTATCATTGCTGAATACAATTCCAGCTCCTCTAATCATCACATGGTATTTACAAGAACAATATCATCTGATCGAAAGGAACTCCATAAAACTAGTACCAGAATAAAGTCAGAGAAAAACAGCACGGTTTTCTGGATCTAGACCATACGATGCAGCGGAAGATTTTAAATCCAGCAAGAAGCTATACGTTTAATGTTGAGAAATGGATCTATGCTAGAATATAAACATCAGAGAGATCAGTATCCAGCAAAAATCATCGCCAATTTCGAGGATAAGAAAACCAAGGTACGATCTAAGGTGACAACAACTGACTTCGGTGAAGAGATCCGATCATAATCGAGAGTGATATCTAGTCGAGTTCACGTGAAACATCAAGGAATCCAGATATGACATAGAGAGAGAGAGAGATCGGAACCTGTTGATCGTTGCGGGCGAGGCATTTGCGGACGATCTCGCCTTCGAGAGCGCGACGTTCCTCGAGAGTGAGCCATTCGTAGTACTGAGCCAGACGCGTCTGGCCTTGCTTGTTCACCATCAATACGAACCTTATTCCCATCTCTCTCTCTCTCTCTCTCTCTCTCTCTCTCTCTCTCTCTCTGCGCAGATGTTCTGAAGCGTTCTTCTGTAGACATTTAGTTATTAATTAATGTTTATAAATAAATGTTATTCAATGTCATTTTCTTTTCTCTTACGTGTGTGTATGTATATATATATATATAACTCTCCTTACCCCCCCCAAATCTCCGCTGGCACCCAATTTTCTCCCACCATCTGTACGGCCCATTTTTTTGGTGGGCCCAATATGTTTCCCTTATAACAATAATGGGGCCAACCCATAAAATTCAGAAACCTAAGCCCACAGCCCATGTAAATACTTATATATAAAACCGTCATAAAACAAATTTTTTGAAAAAACGTAATTTTTTAATTTTAAAATCAAAATATTACGTAATCTTTCAATTTTCATATAATTTTGTAAAAATTTATTATATTTCATTCATATAACCCTTAACACGATAAATGATAAATCCAAAAAAAACGACGACCTGCCATATATTTCACATCTCAACGTTCGAAAAATATATAAAAAATAAAACAACATTTTTAAAAACACATATATGTCGTCTAATGATTCTCCTCTCCCTCTTTTTCCCGAGAAAAACAATGATGAGAAAATTCACCAATGGAAAATAGCTGCAACCCAATTACGGAAACTAGATTGCGGGCTATGCTTTATTGCCTCGCATTCACATGAATCTTATTTACTTGTAAGTTATAATGATTACAAGATTTGTCTTCTTCGCCCACCAAACTTTATTATAATATTTATAATCCTTAATACGTATTTATTTTATATCACTAATGTCCAAACCTTTGGTTGATAACATTTTTGACCCGTCTAAAATATTTTAAAATTAAATGTTACTATTTTTTTTTTATAACGGAGGACCCTAGCTGCTATCCTTCGGACGCGTTGACTAGGTAAAACTACGGCTCGAGAACAACCTTTGTATATGGATCATATAAACCCAAAAATTATCTTCCTCTTCACCACTCTGGAATCGAACACTCAATTTCAAGGTGAAGTTACCTCCTACCCAAACTTGATCACTCGTCCTCTGTTGGGTAAATGTTACTAATCTTTAGTCACATATCTTAATTCTTGCAAAATGATAATAAACTAATGACATTAACCACCAGGACCGCTAATCTCGTTGACTCCTCATTTTGATGGCTATTTTAATAGCAAAATGAGGCCGAACAAAATAATATACAATCCTATTGGAACGAAATTATATATTAAAATTAATTAAAATATAGATAAACAAAACCAAATTGAATATACGAATTTTATTTTTTAGACTGAAATATGTTATCAATAAAAACTTTGAACCGGAACTAAATTTAATATAAAAATAAAAATGATAATTTATTCTAAAATTAAAAATAACCGAACTCAACCGTTCCAAGTTAACATGGTGCTATGTATAATTGTTCTAGATCTATAAATTGTTTTTTTTTATTAGAGAATTATTAGGATCCATATCTAGGGTTTCGATTCAAATTCCGCTTAAATATTTTAGTTCAATTTTTAATTTAAAATAGTATATTAATCATTTTTTATATAAAATTTAATTCGATTTAATTTTTTTTGGATTTGATTTATTTTTTTCAATTATTTTTTATATATATTTTTTTGGAACTTTTAAATTTTAAATAATGTACACATAATCAAATTTTATATGGTTTTCTATTAATACATTAGGTTTGACCGAACGACGACCCCTATGACCTTGTAGATTTTGCTGCCATCTACCAAAACAAATAAATCATATTGGGGATTTTGCCCCCACAAAGTCTCCACCTTCATCAATGCTTCAACCAACCACACTCTGCAATAATCTCACAACACAAACCCCATTATTAACCCTTAAAATCACTCCACATTCTCGCTCTGTCAACACATGCTGAAGAAAGAGAAAATGGCGAAGAAGAAGAATAAAGTCTCCGCCTTTAAGCTTCTGGGTTTCGTTCTGTTTCTGGGTTTCGTTCACAATGGCGAAGCCTCATTCGTCGACGGCGGCGGCGGCATTGGAGTCGGAATCAGCGGCGGAGCTGACGGAGCTGTATGGATCGGCGGTGGATACCCTAATGGGGTTCCGGATTCAGCTCCGAAGCAGCAGAACAGTGCGTATGATGCTCTGCAGATATGGAAATCCGCCATTAAAGAAGATCCTTCTGGTGTTCTTAAGACATGGGTCGGACCAGATGTCTGTTCTTACAGAGGGGTTTTTTGTTCTGGTTTGAGTGTGACCGCCATAGATCTCAACCGTGCTAATCTCAGGGGCACCATTGTCAAAGAGCTCGCTCTTCTCTCAGACCTCACCATTCTCCACCTCAACAGCAACAGATTCTCTGGACAACTCCCAGATTCCTTCAGAACCCTAGATTCTCTCCAGGAACTCGACCTCAGCAACAACAGATTCTCCGGTCCTTTTCCATTTGTCACAATCTATCTCCCCAATCTCGTTTACCTCGACCTCCGGTTCAACAATTTCACTGGACCGGTCCCCGAAGATCTCTTCAACAAGCGGTTAGACGCGATTTTCCTCAACAATAACCTGTTCGACGGCGAAATCCCCCAGAATCTGGGAAATTCTCCGGCTTCGGTTATCAATCTCGCTAATAACAGATTCTCCGGCGGTATTCCGGCGAGTTTTGGCCTAACCGGCTCGACACTGAAGGAGATTCTCCTCTTGAACAACCAGTTAACCGGTTGCGTACCGGAATCTGTCGGTTTGTTTGGTGAAATTGAGGTTTTCGACGTCAGCTACAATTCCTTGATGGGTCATGTCCCCGACACGATCTCGTGCTTGTCCGAAATCGAGGTTCTGAACCTCGCCCACAACAAATTCTCCGGCGAACTACCAGATCTGGTCTGCTCGTTGAGGAATCTGATGAATCTGACGGTCTCCTTCAATTTCTTTTCTGGGTTTAGCTCAGACTGTACGAAGCTGTTCTTCAGGGACGTCGGATTCGATTTCGCCGGAAACTGTATTCCCGGCGGAGATATGCAGCGGCCGCCGCCTGACTGCTCAGCGATTCCCGGCGGATCGTTGAGTTGCCTGAGGATCCCGGCGCAGCAATTGTTGTGCGGTTCGATAAGCGTGGGACTGAAGGAGGGAAACAGCAACTACACTTCGTCGCCATGAGAGGGTAAAGGTCGAAGCTTTTTCTCTTCAAGATCCTTTTGCGATCCAAATTTATCGGTTAATTAATTAATCAATTAGTCGAATTAAATATTGAACGCTCAGCTTATTCATGATTCAAATGTAATGTGATCGAATCTTGCTAATTATTTTTTGACCATGGAAGAACATCTTGTTGGATATGATTAGTATTGAGATTTTTTTATTTGGCCTGTGCGGATTAATTTATCAATAATCCTACTTAGTCTCTTTCCGAAATGTTGTCAAAGCTCTATTGTATATTGTAATATATGTTATTTGTTGGTACAAAAGTTATTTTTCATCTCCAAAATCATTCAACATATATGGATATAATAAACATGGCTTATTGGTTAAATATTTGTAAGATAATTTGTACATATAATCTAATCCTAAAAATTGTGTCCTCTCAAAGCAGAAATGGATAGTTTTAAGATAATCTAAAACCAATTTGAAATAACCCACTAAATGGATTTAAAAATAATTTTAAATGAAATTAATCAAATATGCACCATGTGGACAACATAATAACATATTATTATTGAATATAACTTCTATTAGTCTTATCATATGCCTTTTGCAAGGCATCAAACCACAAGCAATGTTTTGAAAGCCAAATTAAATATGCACCATGTGGGTTACTCTCATAACCCAGTAAGTTTTCGGATCATACCAAATTAAACCGGAAATAACCAAGAAATCAAGGAATGTAATACATCGGATTAGGGACTTTAAACGATCGTTTGGCCACTGCAAAACCCACCAAATCACTCCATTGATCGCCGGTACTCCCATGGATTTTGTAACCTTCCTTTATCAATTCCGATCTCTTCTCCGATTTGTATGTTGTGGCTGCTTTCCCTTGATCTTCATGACCCCTTTACAAAAAAAAAAAAAAAGGGCCAAATTTTGGATTTTTTTAACCAACAAAGAATGGGTTTGGATTTGGCCACTGTCTTAAAATTTCTCGGTTTTACCTCAAGATGAGTCGTTCCCAATTGGAATAACCGGCGTACTGGAGATTCTTCTCGGTACAACTTCTTTGTCCCTCGTCCCGTCCGGTTAGTAGAAAGATGGTGAATCCAAGCTTCTTCAGCTCATTGTATAGCCTCAGGCTCGCATCGAATGCAGGAGCTGCACTTGATTCTACCCATGCGTTGAAACTCTCTCCGTCGAACGGTTCAGTCCTTAAACCAACAAAAGAGTTAAACCCGGTTTCTCACCGTACCGATCGGTACACAAGAGTAATGCTGCAAACCGTGTATACCGCTGCCAATTTGGTTAATAACTTTGGACCGATACAGACCGTAATAGAACCGAAATCTATAACAAAATCAAACGGTTTATTATTTCCCTAAAACTGAAAGTATCAATCTCGACTAAAATAATAATCCGAAAAAATTTGAATTAAAAAATTGATTCACCGCCAATCAGATTCACCACCCATTCCACTCCGGTTTAGATTGAACCGGAAATCGAATCCGGTTTTATAAGGTCAACGATATAGTAGTAATCATCGCGACCATTCGTTTTGCACAGTACGAAACAGTAAAAAGATCCAACGGCTAAGAGAAAATCACCATACCCGAATCCATGAGCCTTGTAGTAGTCGATATTGGTGAGAAGAGTCTCGTCGATGTCGAAGACCCAAGCGTCGTAGCCGTCGCCGGCGATCTTCAGCGTCTTCGCGAACTCGACGGCGTAATCGGCCATGACTTCATAGTCGGAGTCGAATTGGCCGCCGGTAACGTAATCGGCGACGAAGTCCTTGCAGGCGACGGGAACCACATTCCAGGATCCGGCGTTGTTGGTCTCCACGGCCAATCTCCAGCTCTCGCAGTATTCTCCGGCGGTAGAGCCAGATCTGTCGCTTGGAAGCTTAATAACGGCGGCGGCGGGAAAGATTAGGAGGGTGATTAAGGAGAAGATCAAGGACAATATCGCCATTAGAGAGAGAGAGAGAGAGAGAGAGAGAGAACGGCTGTGATTGGGTGCGCGAGATGGACCGGGATTGGCCACGAAATAAAACAAGTACGGGAAAAATGAGAAGCGCTACGACGTCTTTCTTCGCGTCTCTTTAATAAACGGTTCTATAACCGAACCAGAACATTCCGGTTATGATTGTCTGAATCCGGTTCGGTTAACGACTCCGGTCAAAGTAAACCGCATAACTTTCCGGTTTGGTAAACAACACATTTATTATGCTTGATGTCCCTTAAGTTTCAAAGAAATCACTTCTCGACCACACAATATTTATTATACGACATCAAAACCCACGCACGGTGGGTACATTACAGAGAACAACAACATACATTTGGGGATTGTATCCTTATTTTAGTAGATATTACAGAAAAACCCCTAAGGTTCTTAATTTTACAATTCAAACCCCAAGAAAAGATTATCAAGGGACATAGTACAAAGGATTCGGCACTTTAAATGATCGTTCCGCCTGGGCAAAGCCAAGCAAGTCGCTCCATTGATCTCCAACATTTCCATGGATTCTGTATCCTTCCTTAACAATCTCCGATCTCCTCTCTGATTTGTATATTGTCGCTGGTTTCCCTTTGTCCTCGGGACCCCTTCGTTGATGTTATAATAAAGCACTATTATAATTAGGGTGAATATTTTGGATTCAGTTCAGTTATATTTCGACTTCGATTATATCGGTTTTAAAAAAATTATAATCGTTTCGTTTTTGTATTAAATTCGTTTTGGGTTATGTTTGGTTTCATTTTTTTGTTGATAAAAATACTCGTACTTTTTTAAAGTTTTTTGTTTTGTTTTTTCGGTTACTATTTAATCCGTTCGATTTGGTTTAGTTTCTTTATTAAGTTTGCATTCAGTCCAGTTCTGTTTCGATTTTCTTGATAATTATGCTCATATTTTTTAAAGAAATTTATGGTTTCCGATTAATTTTTTATACGGTACGGCTCAGTTCGGAATTTGATTTAATAAATCGATTATAGAAATTATAACCATTCGATTTTTATATTCGAATTGGTTCAACTAATATTGAGTACCTCAAGAAGAGTCGTTGCCAACCGAAGTAACCGGAACGCAATAGATTTGTCTCGGTGGCGTTTCGATATTCCTCGTCCCGTCCGGTCAGGAGAAAGATAGTGAAGCCAAGCTTCTTTAGCTCATTGTACAGTCTCAGGCTCGCATCAAATGCTGGAGCTTTAGCCATCTCTATCCACGAATAGAAGCTCCCTTCATCCATCGGTTCCGTCCTAAATCCACGTACCCATATATATATATGTAAATAGTGTATATATTTACATAACAAATATTCAATGGCTAATCACTGCGATATCTCTTACATAAACAAAGATGATCAACGGCTAAAGATAGAGTGGACATACATACATACATACACACACGCACACATATACACATGGGCGGGGCGGATCTATGTACATAGGAGTGGGGCATATATCCCCATTGGATTAATTAAAATTTTTAATTTTTTTTATAAAATTTATAAAAAAATTTAAATAAAATTCTTAAATGCCCCCACTAAATTTAAATTCCTTATATAAAACTTTCTATAATTATATATTTTTATTAATTTTTTTATATTTGTATACATGTTAATATTATTGCTACCTCTTATAAATATGTTTGGGTCCGCCACTTCATATATATATATATATACCCGTATCCTTGAGTGGCGAAGTAGGAGAGATGGCTGAGGAGGGTTTCATCGACGTCGAAGAACCAGGCGTCCTTCCCGTCGGCGAGGGGCTTGACGGTGTGGGCGAAGTCGATGGCGTAATCGGCGATGAGTTCGTAGTCAGCATAGTACTGTTTGCCGGAGATATAGATTCGGACAAAATCCACGCACTCCTTTCTAACAAGACCCCATGCTCCTGCATTGTTTGTCTCTATCGCCAGTTTCCAGCTCTCGCAGTAGCTCGTGGAACTTGTAAGGTCATTGTTGTAATTATCATATTTAGGGTTAACCCCAGGTCGGGGGAGAGGGGTGGCCGGAGGAATCATGAGGAGGACGATCAAGGGGAAGATCATCAAGTACTTTGGAGATGCCATCATGGAGGGAGAGAGAGGTTTTAGGGTTTCGGATAAGATTTGCTATGAATTTAAAGAAACTTGGAAAAAAAATGCACGTTTTCCTTGTTCTGTCATGTCTTCATTGTATACCTAGATTACGTGGTGGTGGTGGCCACTGTCTTCTCCGCACAACTTTCTTTTATTGTAATGACAGATTGTCCTTTTTTTCAAAAAAAAAAAAAAAAAAAGTAAAACCCTAGCTAATACAATAGGACCATTATAAATGCAATTACGTGAACCATAAAATCAAAGGAAATAACAACAGTAATCATCTCTCTCTCTCTCTCTATATATATACACACACACACACATTATCTATTTACTTTCCACACCTACTCACTCTTCTTTACTGCTGTAATGTGATTATGACATGAAATCATTTACATTCGCACACACGTTTTTCCCATGTTGGGATGGATCTCACTCACTATATTCACATAGAAAACGTCGAGTTTTATTACATCATTGCCGACAAAGCGTTTTGCTGTTGAGTTTGCATTTGTACGTGGTTAACTATAGATCTGGTTTTGTAACCTAGACAGTGTGTTAGATTACAATTATTACTACGTTAGATGAAGAAAAAAATGACCTAACTTTCGCTTAAAGCAAGGGGCTATGCATCGGTTTGTATCTCGATTTTGATTAATACCATTTACAATTTGTTTTCCGCCACTCATAGATTGATATTAGGGCATCAAAGAAGAGTTCACAATTAGTTTTTGATCATTTAGTTTCATATGATTGCTTAGAGTTCGATTATATGTACATATACACACACACACACACACGCATGTTCGATTATACATGATCCGTTCTTGATTTATGTCCGGAATCTGGTTTTCGTTACCATTATACATATAGGGTTAAAAGCTAAAAAACCACTACCTATCTACCATTGTCTACTAAACTCCAAAAGCTGCCGTGTTCACGGAACTATATATGGTTGTTCCCCGAGGATTGACGAAAACAAAACTCCCTCTCTCTAATTTGGCTGCTGACGTGGCATCACAATAAAGCTTACTAGATAGTTTAGTTACGCGTCGCGTCGCCTCACCGTCTTCATCAACTGCTGTTGTGTGAAGGAGATAATATGCATATCCTTAAAGCCTAAAAGACTTCGATTTCTTATATCTAATTTGCGATTCTCCGAGGAATTCGTTACCATATTAGAAAATCCCCTATATAACTCTTCGTCCTCTCGATCGACGGTATGCAAATCCATGTTTTGTTTTCTTCGGATTTTTTTTGTACTAGTTAATAACCCGCACGAATCGCGCGGACTTTCTTTTCTTCGTAATTTAGTTTATCTGATCCACCAAAATTCATAATAACTATTTAATTCTACGATAAAGAAGTTGTCTTAGTTTCTCATCCGTAAAACAATTCTATCATATTCTCGGTTTTCATTTAGATAGTAACCCGCGCAGATCGTATGGACCACTAATATATATATATATAAATTTTAAATACTTTTATTATTATTTTTTAAGTTTGATATAATGTATTTGTTTTTGAATTTATCATTTATATCATTAAATTAAAATAATAAATATTTTTTAAGTTCAAGATATTACGATAATATATTTTTTTCAGACGAAATTGTGAAAAATTTGCAAGTTTATATTTTGTGGATTATATTATTGAACCATTTGTTGGAATATAAAACATCAGAGTAAAGTTTTGAATAATTTTACGATTAGATAAAATAGATTCGATTGATCAACTTGACATTCTAAATCTATGTATTATTATTTTTTTACAAACTAAAGATTTGAACATCTTTTATAAAAAAAACTAAAACTAAGATTATATTATATTTGTTTACTATCTATATTTTATCATAATAATATTAGTTATACAACTTGTAATTCCTTACTAATTTAAATATATATGAGTTAGAGACTTATTTAATTAGTTTTTCATTTAATTTGACCTGTATTTGTTAAATTTACTTCTAATTATTTTTGAAAAATTTGGTATCATTTTCAAAATGAACTGTTAAAAAAACTAAAAAGTATTAAAACACTGAATAGAATCGAACTGAATTTTAAAAAACCCGAATTCGTTTTTTCTTAAGAAAATGTCCAATTTTCTTAATAAAGACCGAAATCGAATATAATATAATTAATAACTTTTTTATATATATTTTTATAAAGTCGAATAAACTGGATCAAATACTAAAATTTCAATCCCTAGTTTATATATGTATACATATTAATAGTTATGCATATGTATGAGTTGTATATGTATATATAAATGGATTTGAATGCTTTAAAGGGATTTAAGGGGTCGACCAATCCAATCCATTATTATTAATGAGTCGATCCAATCCAACTCGTTATTCTTACGATCCAAACAGATTGGACCTTGGATTGAGCCAACCCAATTAAAATCGAAGCAAACCAAATATAATGTAATAACATATACATATATATATTTTTATAAAACTGAATATACTTGATAGAATACTAAAATGTCAATCCCTAGTTTATATGTATATACATATTAATAGTTATTCATAGTTATTCATATGTATGAATAGTATGTATATATATAAATGGATTTAAATAGTTTAAAACGGGTTGAATGGGTCGACTCAATCCAATCCATTATTATTATTAATGGATCGATTCATCCTAACCCGTTTATTTTTACGATCCAAATAGGTTGGGTCCTGGTTGGAACTACCAAATTTAAATCGAACCGAATCGAATATAATATAATAACCTATTTATATATATATTCTTATACAATCGAATAAACTGGATCGAATAATAAAATGTCAATCTCTACTTTATATATATATACATATTAATAGTTAAGCATATGTATACATGAATTTAAATGGGTCAAATGAGTTTAATGGGTCGACTCAATCCAACCAATTATGACTAATGGATCGACCTAATCCAAACCGTTTATTCTTACGATCTATAACATCTCTAGCAATACCTGATTAAAATAAAAATAAAATAAAAAATCAACACAACAGGATTAATTTGACGGAATAAAGAAAATCACTTCTCCTTCTCGGGATAAGATAAAACAAATACATTTCTTCTCGGGATAAGAAAATCACTTTACTATTTTTTAATCACAAAAACTATTAATTGTTTAGAAGTTGGAAACTTTTGTACAATATTATTAAGTTTCAAAAATATATAAATAATAATTTATAAAAAATAGAATAATAAAAACAATAATACAAAAGCAATTGTTTCAGTTTGTTCTTAAACATATTTTTCTTACAAAGTTATTATTTTATATCTTTGATATACTATTATAAATGTATTAATAATAGAACAAATATTTTTTTAAGTTCCAAATATTTTATATCTTTAATATATTATTTTACATCTTTCTTCGTATAAACATATAGACTTCAAAACGAGTCTTAAATGATCATGTAAAATAAACAATGGGTGATTAGTAAAAAATAAATTTAATAAAATACAAGTGAAACTAATTGAAAATATCTAATTAAATGAGACTCTAATTCACATATGTTTAAGTTAGAAGTAAATTGATTTTATATGAATTGTTAAACTAATATTATTGTGATAAAATATATATAACACATAAATATGATATAATATTAGTTCTTAGTTTGTAAAAAAATAGTATATTGGTTTAGAACGTAAAATACTTCACAATAAAATAATATAAATTATTTTTATTATATGACCAGAGAAAAAGTGACAAATTTAGATGAATCTCCTAAAAAATATTAAAACTTTTCCAAAATACAATTCAAAAGTGATATGAGAAGATCTTTTTATATTAAAAAAAGAATTTTTACAAATATTACAACTTTTCCAAAAGACAATAGATTTTCTTTCCATCCCACTGCATGTTTTCCGCTGTTGGATCATTTGCCTCCGGTTTGTTCGACCACACCACGTGTTTCAATAGCTTCTCTCTTTTTTCTCTGATGAATCGATCGACAACTAACTTCTCCCTAGCCAATCGTCGCATCATAATTTAATCATAATAAAAGATACAAATAGTAACGTATATTCATTTGTATGCATTTAAACATAATCTTTTTTATTATTTCTACAGTACAAAATACTATTCACTGCATATTTTACTTTTAACTAATTTTTACCACATATTCATATTTTAGAATAGAGCTTGTCAACGATATGAAGAACACGACGATGGTAAATTCTCTAAGTTAACATGCATAGAGAGAATAGTTATATTTCAAATTTAAACATTGGAAAAAAAAGAAGAAAACTTTACGGAAAACAACGACCTATATAATAGAAAAACATTTACCAGAGCAAGTGGTCGTTGATAAATTAGGTTCAGCTGCTAATCCTCGACTTCCAACATGGCTGTGGTGGCTTCTTTTTCAAGTGCCTTCATACGGTTTTGAGTTCTGCCAATCTCGATTCAGCATTCTTGAGTTTCAAAAAACTTTTTTAGAAATATCGGTTTCCTTCAACTTTGATCTTCGTTTCATTATATCGCTTGTCTGTTATAAAAAAAAAAAGTTCATCCATAATGAGAAATCTCCAAAAATTCCTAAACTCGAAAAATAAAAAAAATGAAACAAAAGTTGTACCTATGCGTCAATTTCTTAATCGAAATTATAAAAACAATAAATGGTGCTAATTTTTAAAAGTCGAAGATTATTCGAATAAACAAATAACGAAACGAAAACGCATTCGCAATATAAAACGTATATAAAAAATGAAAGGTATTAGAGTAAAAGAGCAAACCAACCATATGGGTAACGTCAATTCAACGCCACTGTAGATTCTCTGAGTCAAATTTTTAGATATCTATTTCAACATTCCAATAAAGATTATAGATAAAAAAAAAGGTAGACCAAGTAACATATGACAACATCTTGGACTTTCATAGTCACCACGATTATATACACTGCGAGTAAAAAATCTCTACATGACAAAAAAAAATTACAGCCAAAAACTAAAGAATTATATACCATGTATTCACCGAGGTTAGTTGTGGAGGCCAGTTGTGGTATGTTTGTTTTAAGGGCTATGAAAATAGTAGAGATTGAATAGAGAGGGGAAAGGGAGAGAGAGATTTAGAAGTTTTGTAGTGGCTGTTCTTTTTTAGATTTTGTTCTGTTGAATTAAAAAATCCCAAACAAATCGTGCCGCTTTATATAGATACAAAAAACATATAAACAAATTTTTATGAAAACATTTAGATATTTTATTAATAAATATCATTTAAAAACATAGAATATCGTAGATACATGCATGATAGAGAGAATGAATGAATATAATTTATGAAAATTAATTATATTTTAAAAGACATAGAATATCGTGAATACATGCATGATAGAAGGAATGAATGTAATTTATGAAGATTAAATATATTTTAAAAGATGTTGAATACAATGAATAAAGGAATTAACATAATTGGAAAAAGACAAATTTGAATAAATGAAGGGGGTGAATATGAACAAAATAGAAAATTGTATATACAGGATATCATATATATATATAAAAAGATACGTGTAAGATAACAGTATATACATAACAGAATAATTAAAATTATAAGATATTAAAAATAATTGTATACGGTTATTAGATAGATGAATATCTATGTACATAAAAAATTAATAAACTTTTAAATTAATATAAGTTAATATATTAAATATCTATTGAGAGTTGTCTATTTAGAAAAAAATATCTATTTAATAAATATAAAAAAATAATGATAGATTAAATTGATATATTAATTTAATGATAAAGAAAATCGTTTATATTGAAAGACTGTATACCTTATATATCAATATCCACATAATTAATAGGTAGAGAATTAATTTATAATTTTTTATGGGACACGTGTCAATCACTCCTTCACTCAACTGTACTTTTATATATATGATGATTCATATTGGTTCATTGGCCCAACTATATTCAATGTGAGCCGAAATGTAGTATTGCTACAATTAGATTACATCTTTTTTTTCCAACGATCACTCGAATATGAGACCTGGAACAACGACATATCTATCCTTCTCAACCAGCTACACCACTCGACCAACTCCGACTAGGTTTTTCATCCATAGTTTGGTAACTTCTGATGAATATTTCGCAATATTTTAAAAGGGTATTGAGAAAATAAGGAAATTTTCGCTCTATATGGTTAAATTAATTCCTCCTCATTTTGTATGAAAATTTTGCTCGTTTTGGGTGGGGGGACCAAATTGGAATTTCTGTTGCAAAATGTAATGCCTGGATTGAAATTAAATTGTTTCCATCGCTTTATTCGGAAAGAAAATCTAAGGGTTTTGTCAATTTGATAAAATTATTGCCGGATATGGCACACATAGATCCCTTATTATATATTAATATGTATGTGTATGGCTTTATACACGCATTTGGAATGTATATCTCGAGGTCATTTGGAAATGCTCCACAGTTGCTCTTGTTGAAAATCCATGTGTATGAATTTTATGTAATTATTATCAAATTAATTTTTTCGTGAACTTAGATAGCCTGAAGTAAATGAGGTATTGATTCTTAAGAGAAATTAGTAAAATCTGTCCGTTGATGATCCATTGAAATATTTCCAACAGATTTTCGTCATTGAAATCCTATTGAAATATTCAATGGATCGAGATTTCCAACCACGGTATTTCATCAAATATTTGGTTGATTTCAAAGGATTCATCCATTGGAATTCAGTAGTTTTTGTAGTGAAAAATTAGCTTATAGAAAATAAATTATAAAAATACAAGTAAAAGATAATCAAAATATAAAAATTTTAATATATACTTGAGATAATTAAAAAATAAAATTTAGATAATAAAATATATTTTGATTTAAAAGAAATTAAAACTCAAATTTTTAGTTTTTATGTGATAATAAAATTTATTAGATGCCAAATTTTTAGATTTTTTTTTGTAGAAACCTACTTTTGTATGAAACACAAAATTTTGAATGATATATGAAATATTCACACAGTTCATAAAAAAAAAGGTCAAACCAATAAAAATTTATGAAATTTCTTAAATGGTAAAAAATAAATTTTTAATTTTTTTTTCTAGATAAATTTATTGTCAAACTTGTAAAATATGTTATTATAATTCTAAAATTTGTAGAATATATAGTTATAATTCTCAAACTTATTAATCGGTTTCTGAGTTTATGAAGAAATCTGATAATGTTGGTTCAAAAATCAGTTTAAAAATTATAATGATACATTTTGCAAGTTTAGAAATTATAATAATATATTTTGTAAGTTTAAAAATAAAATTATTAGGTAAAAAGATTATAAATTTATTTTTCAACATTTGAAAAGTTAGAAGCTTTTATGAATTTAAAAAAAAATGAATGATTTTATAATTTTGGGCTTTCCATTTCTGTTCGGTTCTATTTTTTTTTTTGTCCGAAAAATAAAAAGTGGTCATAAAGCGTAGAAGCAGAATCATTCTTCCCCTTTTTGCAGGAACAAGTTGTGGCAAAAAATCATGTCTTTGGGTGGGAGAGGTTGGAACAGCTCACGAAGACAGCGAATCAGATTTTATTCTCTTCTCTTTCAAAAAGAAAAATGGTTTCATTTTTTAACAAATTGAATTATGCGTCAATTACCAACCAAATAAATTATTCACTAAGTTGAATAGTAATTTTGCCCAAAATATACACAACAAGAACAGGAATAGTGTGGCGACCAACAAAGGGAAAAAAATATGAAGACGAATAGTTTGCCAATAAATTAAATCTTTTCATAATTTATAATTTAAATATTCGTTTATCACTTTTATTTAAAAATGAGAGTGGACCAAAATAATGGCATATTGATGTTGGCACACGCTACATTTGATAAATATGAATGGATCAAAAATAATGGAATATATATATATATATATATATATATATATATATATAAATTGGCAATTGTTTTATACCGTAAATGCATTTTAGAAATCTAAATTTAAATTATTTCAAATATCCTTTCTTTTGACCGTTTGCAATACATACACATACGGTATATATAATATGTGTGTGTGTATATATTCTCTTGTGTGTTATAGCGTTTGAGGAAAGACGTTTCCGAGTACGAACAAAACTCAGACGCAGGAGAAAAGAAACCCAAGAAGCTTCGGCATTTCTCACAGGGAGGAGGAGGAGGAGAAGATGTCGTGGCAATCGTACGTCGACGATCACTTGATGTGCGATGTTGAAGGCAATCGCCTCACTTCCGCCGCGATCATCGGCCAAGACGGCAGTGTCTGGGCTCAGAGCTCTACTTTCCCTCAGGTCTTTCTTCGATCCGTTTTTTTTTTCTTTCAGTTTTTGAATCGATCTGGTTGCTGTTTGTTTGAGATTTTTCGTGATCGGATCTGAGGAGGCTCGGATCTGGTTTGATTTCTCCGGAATCGGAGCAGATCGAATCTGGTCCTGTAATCCTATGATCGAATTTGTTTGTTCTGAATCGATTGATTCCAATCGGAAGCTTCTGGATTTTTGTTTGATTTAGAGATTTCACGACGGTGCTGGTAGAGTTATTCGTATCCTGCATAGGCTTCGCATACATATGAAGAATCATATATGCGCGTGTATATAGTGACTTAGTAGTGAATTAGTAGCCATTCTGTTTAAAATTCATGTATGCAGAAAAAACAGATGAATGAAAAAACTTCACCAAATGCATCAGACTGAAGGGATGATTTTGTCTCCCTTTTCCCTTTTTGATTTGTGCATTATAACTTTACATATTCTGCACAATACCTTAACATAGACCTTCGAATCGTCTCTGACTGATTTTTTTTTTTTTGAGAATCTTTTATTTTTATGTTAATCTGAGGATTGTCCTTTCAATAAGCCCATTAGTTATCCAGCAAATAAACTGCTTGGCTTTGCTCACTGTCTCATAACCTGCGAACGAATGTTGTTATCATTGCTCAATCAATTGAAGCTCATTGCTTATTGATCTTGTTGATGTTTTAGTTCAAGGCAGAAGAAATAACTGCAATCATGAAAGACTTTGCGGAACCCGGAACTCTTGCTCCTACCGGCTTGTTTCTTGGTGGTACCAAATACATGGTTATCCAAGGTGAACCAGAAGCTGTCATCCGAGGAAAGAAGGTAATGAACACGACATATCCGTTTGCTGAATTAGATCTTATAAACCCTTTTTGGCAAATACGGATAAAACATTCCTGCATAAAAGAGAAGAGGATGAAAGGATCAAAATGAGCAAACCTTTTATGAACTGTATTATCAAAAATTTAATTTTTTTTTTTATTTCGGGCTTGCTTCTGCTGCAGGGACCTGGGGGAGTCACTATCAAGAAGACTAGCCAAGCCCTAGTCATTGGCATCTACGACGAACCAATGACCCCAGGCCAATGCAACATGGTCGTCGAGAGGCTCGGAGACTACCTTATCGAGTCCGGCCTTTGAAAAAAAAAACAAAGCTGCTCTTGGATTTCAGGTTCTTTATCTGCGAACAAACCGTTGTCTCTCTTTTTATGATTCGATTGTGGTAATGTCTGAAACATTTAGGAAAACGGAAACAACAGAAGAAATAATAGTGGAATCTGCCTTTGCTTGTTGGATTTGTGATGGTTTTTGATGATCGTTTCGTGTTGTAATCTGAGTGATACATCATTCTCTGGGGGGTTCCCCCCATCTATGTTACATTACAATAGTTTGGATTTTCTGTATCGCTTGCTATTTTTCTTTTAATGTATGTAACTGTGGATTCCGGTTTTCAGCGGATTGAAATAATTCCGGTTTAGCAACCAAACCGAGATTGTCAAATAATTCTGGTTTTCTTTGTTGAGTGTCTTCTCACATAATTTCTGGATCCACATTTGTTCGTTTTGGTTCACTCTGAGCTGCATAATCTGATCGCTGATGAGCCTGCGATTTTTGTTCGACGAAGGTTCTGCTTTTCGCCAAAAATCCCGGTACAATGATCCCACCGGTACAATAATCCGGTGATAAATTCGGTTTGGTTCGACACTCCACTTTACAAGGATGGCCATTTCAATTTAGTTTTATATAACCGAATTGAATACCAAACTAAATTTGATATAAAAATCAAATATGAAAAATTTTAAAACAGAAAAATCTGAGTATATAAAAAAATTGAAAAAACGGAATTTTGTTGATCTCATAGCATTGTACGTATTTCCTGAGCTCAACAAAACCAATGTACATTGTTTGAAGATTCTTGAGTTTTTAAAATTTAAAAATTTAAAAAATTATCATTCAAGCTTTTATAAAATTATTTTTTGTTAAAATTTGAAAAACTATTTTAGTGAAAAAATAAAATCAATCAAAAATCCAAAACTATATTTTTTTTTGGTTTACAAATATTGACTTTGAACGAGGATGGTTTGATTTTGAGGTTTTGGTTTTAGTTTTTGGATTTTGATCTTTAGTTTTTGGTTTTTTGGATTTTATAATATTTATAAACCCAAAAAAATGTAATTTTTAATTTTTCATTAATTTTTTTCACCAAAATAGTTTTTCAAGTTTTAAAAAAAAATAATTTTATAAAAACTTGAATGGTAATTTTTTTTAGTTTTTGAATTATAAAAACTCCAAAATCCCAATAATTCACAGCCATTATAAAATGTAAAAATAAAAAATCAAAAACTAAAAACTAAAATATAAAAACTAGAACAAAAAATTCAAAATAAAAACCATCCCCGTTCAGAATCCAATATTCATTTAGCACTATTATTTAACTTCCCCCGTTAGTTTCATTGGAAAGAAAAGAATTAGGAAGTTCGAAACCCTGACCTACCAAAAACTTCGAAAATTACATAACTTTAGAGGTAGAAGAGAAAATGAACTACCAAAAGGGTAGACATAAAAACAAGTAAAAAAAAAAAAGGAAAAAAATTGTCATCAATCTAAAAATATGTATCAAAACACAACAGCATATATATGATGTATCATCATCATCATTCATCCTCCTCAATGACCTTTGTGCCCAGACCACTGAGTCCTTCGGGAGGGATCTCGGCGACAGTGACGAGAGAGTAGAACTCGTCCTTGGCATCCTCGTCGTCGTTCCTCTTCCGAGCAATCCGGACTCTGATTCTCCTCGGGACACTCCGGATTCCTCTGCTCCACACTTGCTTGTTCAGCTTCACATCCACTCTCACGTCCTTTGTTCCCATTGCTTTCTCCGCAAACTTCCTTATCTCCTTTATTGCATTCGGCGCCTTCTTTTTGAAAGTACTGTCCCAACAGATATAGAATTATACATTCGATAAAGAATCTCGCAAGTATGATACATGGCTCTCATCATGAGCAAATGCAGAGAAGACAAGATTTAAGATTGCCCTGAACAAAACAAACCAATACAATACAAGAAACAAACAACAGCATTATGAAAGTGAAGTTCAGTGCCAGCAACTTTACCACCTAAGAATTGGATAAACACAATCCAGCCACTAGAAATTTCTCAACAGTAATAATAATAAGCAATCTACCCAGAATCATTCAGACAACAACTTCTTGATAAGTCCAAGATTACGGGTGGGAGTTGCCAGAAAGGTAAAATCCTACGATGCCATTTCCCAAAAACTGGGACTAAGAATTTCAAGGTACATTTCCATTATCAGAGATACGAAATGCACATTGAAACAGTACCCGTAACTACAATTGAACCATGAAGAGAATACATTCATCGTTCGTTCATACATGAAATCTAAGTCAACATATGCCGTGAAGTAGAAACTAAGCTGAATGAGTATGACAATGATCTGATCCATAGAACATGGAGAAGAAATGGCAAAAAACGAATCTAGGGTTCTTGTATTACCAGCCATGGAGGCGTTTGTGAAGGTTGACTGTATACTCTCTGGTAACAACCTCCTCTTTTCTTCCCTTCGTCTTCTCCATTATCTTCGACTTCCCTCTTCAGCTAAACCTGCAATTCGAAATCAGCAGAAGCAAAAAATAAAAAACCATTTTCACATCCACACATAATCATCGACGGCACTCAGCATAAAATTTTCGCATCATCTTCCGAATCAAGCTTGATTGCTGAGAGAACTCATGGAACAGTAAACGAAAAAACACGAGAACCAGATCTAAGATGGAGGGAACAGAGGCGAGTACCTTCGCCGTGAAACAGAGACAGTAACCCGGAGAATGGAGCCACAACGAAAAAGAAAATAAACCCTAATTCTTTGGGCCATTCTGAGCCTTTTCTGTATTATAGATGTGGGCCTTTTCCAATTTCGTCCAGATGCAAAATATAAAAATAATTTCGAACAAACCAGTTTTTTTAATAACAAATTTTGAATTTTATCATAAAATTAAGATTTATTCATAATATGCATAGTGTTGGTTGTTGGATGTTTCGGAATTTGGTTCGAAATTTTATCGGTAAGGTTCGGTTTGATTCGATTCCGGTTTCGGTATGATTCAGTTTTAGATTTTGTTAAAAAAAAATTTGGTTTTTTGAAAATTGTATAAAGTTCAGTTGGTTGGGTTATAAAAAAAATGGATTTTATAAAAAATATACCGTTAGTTAATTTTAAAGAATACGGTTGTAGAAAAATATTGAAATTTTCGGTTTGGTACGTTTCCAAGTAACCGAACCGCAACGCCCAACCCGTCTTCGGATTTGGGGAAGCCAGAACCCTAGTTCTTCAGCTGGGTTTTTTTAACAGATTTTCCGATTCTGTAGCGTAGATTGCAATCGAAGAGATGGGGAGGAGGATATTGAACGATGCGTTGAGGACGATCGTGAATGCGGAGAGACGAGGGAAAGCGTCAGTGGAGCTGAAGCCCATCTCCAATGTCATGTCTTCTTTCCTCAAGATCATGAAGGACAAAGGTGTGATCTTTCGTTCTTCTTTCCGTTTTTCCCATCTGGGTCTTTATTTTCTTCCCAATAACCGGTTTTTTCTTACATCCTTTTGAGTTATTCGGCATCCAATTCACATTTTCCATCTCTGTCTGTGTAATTTAGTCACACACGGGTGGGAAGTGTCTAGTTTGCTTTCTGTTCTATTGAGTAGTGCACTGTGATAAGCTTATGGATGTGTATTGTCTTCTCAAAGCATCAAATGTTTATTCAACGATGTAATAAGAGTGGTAGCGCCAGTTCTTGGTTGTGTTAGCCAAATTGGACTTGAGAGAAAGCTGACATCTATTTTATTTGCTTCGAGTTTCTGTTTTCACAGATGATCTTTGGGTTTGTATCTGTTGGCCTTTTAGTTGGAGCAAGCCTATGGTGGTCTCTATTTTTGTTGATTATTGGTTGTTTCTTCAATTCAATGGCATGAGCCTTCTTCTGCCTATTTCTGGTCTTGTTTTGGAATTCATTGTCAGATTTTTTTGTTGATTATTGATTGTTTCTTGCCGATCCCAAATAAACTTGGGATTAAGACAATGTTGATGTTGATGTATTGGTTGTTTCTTCAATGGCATGAGCCTTCTTCTATGTATTTCTGGTCTTGTTTTAGCATTCATTGTCAGGTTTGAGATAAGAGGGTAATCTTGAATAAGTTAGCTATATCAAGTTGTAGATAGCAATTCCTTAGACCAGGAGTTCCATCTTTAGTGTCTTGAAGGTGTTCAAGTAGATGATCCTATACCGAAATTTGTTTTTTTCTCCGCGGGTTTTTTTTTTCTTCTAGTTCAGAAACTGTCAGGATTGTGTGTTTCAGGATATATAAAGAACTTTCAAGTGTATGATCCAAATAGGGTCGGGAGAATAACCGTCGAACTGCAAGGGAGGGTGAATGACTCCAAGGCTCTCACCTACAGGCAAGACGTCAAGGCGAGAGACATTGAACGGTTTACTGAACGAACACTTCCAACTCGTCAGGTATGTATGTATGTATGTATGTATGTATGTATATGACTATATGTCCCCTCGAGTTTGATGTATTGACCCTCTACTCAATTCAATTCGATTTCAACAAGTTCTTGTATCGAAACCGGTGATTGGTTACATGCAGTGGGGTTATGTCGTACTTACGACCCCGGATGGCATTTTGGACCATGAGGAAGCGGCTAAACGGAATGTGGGCGGCCAGGTTCTCGGTTTCTTTTACTGAAACAGCCGAAGCTTTTCTTGAATTTTTTTTTCTTTGAACAAGATGACAGAATAGAGAAGAGATTTGTTGTTAGATTTCAAGTTTGAATTTTGATGGATAGGGTTTTATAAACTTCTCTTTCATTTCAGTCTTCGGACGGAACAACAAGTAGAACCCAACCATACCTTAACTTCGACATTGTCTGGAACGATTTCAATTTTGTCGCACAACTGCGACCATTCATGCATGTTACACATTTCCATACATTATTGCAGATACACAGACAGAAGGGGGAGACGGACGTTAGCGACCATTTTATTTCCCGACATTAGTCTCTATCTAATCAAAGCTCCTCCACATAAATACAAACTTCGCTTGGAAAATTTTTTCTTATTGAGGACAAAATCTTATACCAAGAAGAGTCAAAAACCCTGCTTTTAGGGAAAGAACAGTAAACGAAAAA